ATGTTTGTTTTGAATCAGAAATCGTGATCTCAGATCAGCAAATATTCCCCTCTTTTGCCATGGCTCTTTAACTTTCTGCAGTTTAGTTGGTTAATGTTTTTGGTGTGACTCACTCAGCTCTGCGTTGGTGTGTCAATAGAAAGTCTGTTGAAGATGAAAGCGTGAAAGCGTCCACCTCCATGCTGCACACAACTAGGTGGAGAAATATGAAGTTCACGCCACTGTTTCTCTGGTGAAAATGGAGTTAGCCTTCCTTCAGCACGTAAACAGTTTAACAGCTTAAACTTGGCATGCTTAGGCAGTTTAATTCCACTGTCAACACCCAAGAAGAAGGAATGCTCGTTTTGAAGCAGAAATCATGTACAGTTTAGAGTGGCTTGTCAGAAAAGAACTTTGTACTGCAGATGCAACTGGACTGAGTCTCCCTAGTGTGACACGTCTTCATAATGTCTGGACATTCTTCTGTGTATCTTGTCACAACAAACAGTGATCGCTTTATAGTATGCGTGTGAAAGGAAGTGGCTATTCACTTAAGTCAATTTTGAAATATTAGAACTGAGTGTAATAATATTCTGTGAGGTGAGCACTACTTTTTTGTGTGAAAGTTTGTCAAATACTGTGTAAATAGTCCAGCCTGTACTCATTGTACATTAAGAGCTTTTTTGGATAATACCAAGTCTATTTGAACCCAAATAAGGTAAAATTAGAGACTTCGGCTGCATCCAGAACTGACAAATGGATTTTAAAATTTGTAAGAATTTGTAAGAATCTATTCACTGCGTTGATATTTGCTTCATAGCATTTACAATGTAAATTCATGTAAAAAGGGGATAATTAATTTCACCATTGAGGAAATGTCAGGGGGTGCGACTACATATTAATTGATAATATGGAATTTTTAAATTATTTTCCACGACTGTTAACATGGATAAACTACTCTTTGTACTTGGACATGCTTGAAAACCTTTGTTCTCGAACTCGAGGTTATACTTTTTTTCCAAAATCAATTAACATTTATCATGATAATAACACATTTTCATGTTTTTCCTGGGTCACACCACCTGACGTGGTAAATTGATCCCGCTTATCTCTGACTCAAAAAACTTCAATATTTATCAATATTTATGATGTTTCTTTTTTATGATGCAATACCCTACCAACTCTCAAAAGCATGTCAAGATAAAAGTCCTTTGTTGTTGCACCACAAAACATTGAGTGGGGATCAGAATTTACAGGCTAATGCCATTTGCAGTTAGTTGAATACTTGTAAATCTGACCTATTTTGCAACATGTTATGATTTTAAAGGTTTCGATATGTTTTATGTAACACATTTTTAATAGTCTATTCAATATAACAGTCGCACCACCTGACATTTTAGATGTTTTTAGACATTTTACTTTGATGTGTTGAAAATATATATCATATAAAGGTGGTACTGTAGAATAATGTGATATGTCATGTATTTTATTTTATTATTTCCTACGGAAGTAATAGATCTGGGCAATAAAACATGTTATTGACACATATACACTATATATACATTCCTAATTAATGTACTCCTAATGCTGTGTAGTATGATACTATGCACTTTTGTAGCATGCAGCCTTTGTGATTTATTGAATTGTTTCTTAAAGAATCATAATGAAATTGAATCTCTATGAGGTCAGAGGTGTACACATCATCCTACACATCATCCTGGCTCTGTTGACATTAAGAGCCATTTTCCACCATAAATCAAGTGAACCGAGTAGGAAGGCTAAGCAGGATGAAGCAAAGCCTTACCATCAGAGTTGCCCTGGGAAAGTCCCCAATGTACCCTCGCTTGGTCTCCATGATGATAAGGCATATCAGAGTTCAGAGGGCAAATCTTTTGAAATATTTTAAATATGCCCTGCTTTTTTCGTCTTCTCCTCCCTGAACGTTCAAGGGACATTCTTTTTAGAATCAGGCTAAGTGGTAGATGGTAGCAGGATGTGAGGGAGAGGGAAAGAGTAAGGAGGGACATATTCATACATTCTTTCTCTTTTTTCCTTGAGAAGTACTCAAGAAGTAGTTAATGGAGAAAGGAGTGAAAAGTCTATTAGAATAGGGGTCATTCTCCATTTGGAGTGGGAGACCATGTCACAAAGGTTACAGGGCTTAAAAAGATGCGTAAAATATTAGGCACAGCTTCAAAAGTCAGTAGGTACATTTACACAATTGACCTAAGATTAAGTAATAGTTTTTCCCTTATGACTTCTCTGATTTTTCGTTTTTTTAAATCCCGTTTTATATTTGCTCTGTATATGTAAAATAGCTCATCACAAAACAAATTTTCAACATACGAGAACATTTTTAATATAAAACAATATTTAATATAAAAAACACAATCATGTTTACTTTTTATATTATTAACATTTATAATACATTTAAAAAAATATATATTTCATTTGTCACAGAGATTTTGGTCACTGGTGTTATCAGGACTCTTATTTTACATATTAACACAGTATTTTCAACTCTATTAAACTGCTTTCTTGGGTCAAGGCTCATCAGAGAGGAAGCATCTCAAGGCATAAGAAGGTGATTTCACACTTGCTCACTGTATTTCATTAATTTATTAATAATTTGATTTATCAGGCAGCACATAACTTCTGTGTGTCACCGGTGTTATGTGCTTTAATGGCTGGGTAATTAAAATGTCAAAATAAAGCCATATATAATTTTTATTACTGATTTTAAATAGTTGTACAAGGTCACCTGACCGCCAACGAGTCAGGTTCCTCAGTTTTAACCAGAATGTCACTAATGTTACACCATGTTTATATAACAACAGTGACAAGAAAAATGTTTGGAATTAAGCTCTCTTTTTGCAAACATGATCATAGGAGATGACGTATGAAGATTATTTAGTTTTGGGATGAAAGAAATCGATTTTTAAAAAATGTATCCACCTGAATTCCCACTCCAAATGGAGAATGACCCATAGGGCTTTGCATGTATTTCATGTATTGGTCATAGCAGCGATCAGAGTCTGGCCACATAGATTAGCTGGCAAAATTGATTAATTGTAGACAAGAATTATGGAAAAAAATCTTTTCGATGTGGCATCCACTTATTTCATAGAGTGATAGTACCCAAGCTAACTTGCTATTTAGCTCTTTGTGTTTAGCTAACATGCTCCAATTAGAGCGCTCGTAATTTTGCTCTCTTTATAATGAAACATGCAGTTGGTCAGTGTTCTTAAAGTACTGTTGATATCCATAATACGTTCAGAAAAGCACATTGTTTTGTATTGTGACATAATTTATCACAGTATGTATTGCCATATTACCCAGCCCTGTTTGGAGCTTGTAAAGACATTCTGTGTCTTATTTGAAGCTTGTAACAGACATATTAACATATACTTTTCCTTGTATGTAGCAGTTTAACAGTGACTCTTTCAGCAGCCATAGAGTGGCATTTTTTTCTCACATTCTACCTACTGTAAATCAAAATTCCTAATTGAGTTATTCTGACATGCTAGTCCTTCAGTTAAGCTTCTGAAATCCAGTGGGAGAGCTAGCTTTGTTGCACCTGCCCTGATACAGCAGAGAAAAATATCTAGCTATCTGCTGCTATTTGAACTGTTCTTGCCCCAAATGGTCCTTCATGGTATCACTATAACAGTGTCCAAGATTACTTTATGGTAGTATCTTCGCTGACAAGCTGTCTATGTAGCTTTTTTTAAGTCCTTACAGGATAGTCTGTTCACTTGGCAGCCATATTTGCAATGCCGCTGGGCAGTTATTTCCAGTCATACAAGACCAGGCTCCCATCTCATTAAATGGGGAAAAACCAAAATACTCAAAACTGAATGTCAAATTACTGTTTCTAAAACGTATTTGAAATGACTGCTAAAATCTGACAAAAACCTCACAAGTAGTTCGTAGCGTTTGGCTCAGTAATGCAATCATTTGTTTGTGTTGTTCATGCCGCTCTGGAATAAAACCCACATTTTGGCACTTTCCATTTTCCAAAAGGACGAGCTGGACTGGAATGTCATTGAGGTACTTGGCTTGTTTTTGTCAACAATTCACTTAAGGTTAGCGCTCTTGATTTAAACAGTTTTGTTTGTGCTTTTTCTCTTGCAAGTAATCTGAGATGAGTCATGAATCAGTTAAGTGTGAGTTAAAGTCATGAGCCAGTTAACTGCACGTCTGAGTCAGTTATGGGCGAGTTGGATTTGAGTCACAAGTCAGTTAAATGTGAGTCTGAGTTGAGTCATAAATCAGTCAAGCACGAATCCAAGTCAAGGTCAGTAAAGCCCCCCTCCACTTTGATTCAGCCAGGGTAATCTATGATGGACTGTCAGGGAGGACCACCATGGTCTCCACGAAGAAACTGTAATGGGGCAAAGTGAGAGAAAACGGCAGAAGACATAATAGATAGATTCATGGGCTGTAATTCAGGTAGCCATTTAAATATTAGTTTGACTATTCAAATGAACTGAATAATAGTGAATAGGTTAATCGGTAATTGCACCTCTGGTTTGTTGGCCACAGTCCCCACTGTAAAGTCAAGAGGCCGGACCCCTTGGCTGTAAGGCTCTCTTGTACAGTACACATGCCACACTCAGGAAGTGGAAAATGTCCCATAGCAGGAAGCAGCAGCTCTGAGTGGCTATTATTGGTCCTGCGGTCTGTGAAGTCAGCGGTGATTAGATACGTTGTGAGGCCTATGGCTAGTTCAGTGCAGCAGTGGGTCATTGTTAACCGAGCCTCATTGTATCGGTTTCCTTCGCAGACTGGCCGGAGAAATAAATGGATCTGTTGACTGTAGCTGTTCTGAAATAGCTTTATGAAGTGTGCAGCTGAATGATCTGTGGGTGGTGATGACCCCTCCCAGTGCCCCACAGGTTTCTGTTTATATTGCTCAACTAAAAATATTTCTCCCTGTTACCAGGACTCTACTGTGTGTGTGTGTGTGTGTGTGTGTGTGTGTTTCCTTCTTGTGTTATTCACTGGCTTCTGCTTTTCAGGATAAAGAATCAGAGGGAACAGAGGAAGTGCTGAGCCTCTCAACAAAGGTAAACACACGCAGTGCACTACTCGTCCACCTAGTGACTGTGTACAATAGCTAAACAGTCTCTGGATCACAGAAATGCATCTTCCAGCATTCTGCGTATACATCACATACAGTCATAGGCAAAAGTTTGGACACCCCAGTGATTTGTTTTGTTGATTTTCTAAAAGAAAATAAGTTAACACATTCTCCACAGAGAACACGTTTCTGCACATTTTAATGCACAATTACTGTTTATTTGCTGTATTTAACATATTGGAGAAAAATAATAAAACCAATTGTGGCCTGTGCACAAGTTATGACACATTATTTTTTTATATGTAAAACCTAGCAAATAAACAGACATTGCGCAAGAAAATGTGCAGAAAAACGTCATACTTAAGTTTGTTTGTTGTGATATGTATCATGAACAAGCTGGTATGAACAAAATGCATCTGCAAAACAGTTATTATAGCCACGATTAAAAAAATGTCTACCTTTTTTCGTTCAGTGGCTACAAAAATGAACTGTTTAAGAATTAAACAGAAGGAAACAAATCAAAAGTTGGTAGAAGTAAATTAAAATAAGATGGCATAAAGGGTTGACATTCAGACAGCTACCACTTAAAAAACGTAAAGTTACACTCTTAAAAAAAGATGATTCTTTAAGGCTTCTTTAATAAAGAGAATTGTTCTATAAAGAGCCATGAACACTCAAAAAACCTTCGCATGAATAAAGGTTTCTTTGCAGAAAGTGTGCTGTTGATGGTTCTATACAGAACCTTGAATTGGAATAGGGTTCTATATAGTCCCTATAAGAACCCTTTTTGGGGCTATGTAGAACCCTTTTCAGAAAGCTTCTGTATGGAATCATCTGTAGCACATTCTGAAGAACACTTTCATTGTGCAAAGAATCCTTTAATCATGCAAAGGATGACGGGATGATGAGGTTTTGACTAAAGAAAGTTCAGTTAACTCAGAAAAGCAGTGAAATCAGTTGTCTTATCATAACGACTCCACTTTAAAGGGCTCATATAATAGAAAACCACATGTTCCTTCGTTTTTTTGGAATAAAAAAGATTTATATGTAGTGTCTAAGCACTGTTAAAAATTTCAAAACATACCCTACTCTCCCCGGGCCTTACAGTGCATATGTATAAACTAAGCTGTAAAAAACTGGTTGTTTTGAATTCCTTGTTTCTGTGACGTTGTAAAAAACCAACACAATTACATATTTCCGCCTATTCAGCCTACAGCAGCTAAGCCCCACCCATTCGTGCTGATGTTATAAGGAGTGTTTCAGCCTTAACTGCTTTTTGCATGATGCACAATACAGGGAAGCCAGCTCATTTACATAAATCTTAAAGTCTTAAAGGTACAGTTATGTAATAATAGTACATAAAACCACACAAATGATATAAGTGGAGCTCAATGAAAAAAAAAATACAAAATGTAGGATATGGGCCCTTTAAATTGTTTACATACAGTTCATGCAGTTGCTCTATTGTTTACAGTTTATAACTGGTCTTTTTTATGGTCCATGCACTAGTTTAGTGTTCTAGAAGTACTAATGATGCCTATGATATAGTTTTGAGATAATTAATTACAATAATGTTCACATTATTGCCCACCATGTTGCCCACCCCAGCCAATTCCTTTGAGCAATCAATAACCTAAACTACCAAACTTTATATGGTCAGAATTTAAATGATAAAAAGGTAAATAAGAACTCTCACACTGTTTGGAAATCTAGAATGTGGTTATATAACATTTAAAGTTACAATAGTGCTTTATCAGCAGGATTTCCACCAATGCAGATAAATCTGTGGAACTTTAACATTGTCCAGTTTTATGGGTCAAGCCCTAGTATACGCTCTGTATTACACTACAGACTGTGCTGCCTCCATCAGCTCATGCTTCTGTATGGTCTCACTTTGATCTGAATATTAGAGAGTAAAGGTGGAAGCTCTGTGAAATATGTCTGTATGTAGGTGGACAGTTTTAGATGAATAAGTCCTTTTAGGCTGTTGATCCTGTTTTCAAGAAAAAGAGGATGTTTTTGTGAGTGTTTGTGTTCATGTATGGGTCTCTGTGTGTGTGTGTGTGTGTGTGTTTGTTTGTGTGTGTGTCCTGCACACTCTGTGGGACATGAAGAGGGGATGTGGTGCATTCTTTCATGATCTGGACAAAAGCATAACAATTCTGGGAATAGCAGCAGGCCGGAGCTGTGACTGTTTTGACATACACTGCTGAATCTCACATACTCAAATCACTATTCAGCTGTTCAGATATAATTACCTTCCATGAAGTTATGGTCTGTATTGTAAGCATGTCTTTCACTTCTGGGTTTAATACTAAATGTCAGGTCATCAAATGTCAGTAATCTGAATCTTAGTACCAAAAAGGAATGGATTTGCTCTATCAGTTTTTAAAAAAATTACAATTTTGTAAGAAGCACTTTAGGCTTTATGTCCTTCCACTTATTAAGTTCAAGTTATTTCAGCCACATCCATTGCTAACAGGAGCAGGAAATAAAGTACATAGACATGTAATCTCAGCAGAAACACTGACAGTAGAAAGGGTTGTACTTGCTAGGTCTGCTGTAGACAACTGTAAGTGCTGTTATTGTGAAATGGAAGCATCTAGGAGAAGCAACAGCTCAGCCATGAGGCCTATGTGCTGTCTTGTGATAGGAATCATTTATTGTATGTTGAATCACTCACTACATCGTTCAAACTGCCTCTGGAAAGAACATCAGCACAAGAACTGTGCATCAGTAGCTTCATGTTATGGATTTCCCCATTTCCGAGCAGCTGCACACAAGACTATGAGCAGTATGCATAATACTCTGTATTAATGCCAGTCCTTATATAGGTTTGATGGTTCACATACTTTAGGCCATGTAGTGTGTGTGTGTGTGTGTGTGTGTGTGTGTGTGTGTGTAATGTAATATTAGTTTTTGTCCCTGAGTTTTTTAGTCAAGTATCTTACGTGCCTAAAACTTTTGCACAGTGCTGTATGTATATATAAGTGCATTTACACTTGGATATAACTCTTATTGCATACAGATGCTTGCATATACAAGTCAGAGACAAAATTCCCAGTCAAAACAGCCAAAGTAGTACAGGTTATTCATTTTTAAGCATCAAGGAAAAAACATAAAACATATATTTAACAGAAAATGTTTATAGAAACCTCAACAATTAATTATAATTTTGGATTTTTGGTATTTATTTTGTCCACCATTTGCCTCAATTGCAGCTTCCATACCTTTCAGGAGACTCACTTTAAATTGTTCAAGGCAATTTGCAGGGGCATTTCCAGAATTCCAAAGTTCAGTCTTAGAAGTTGGTTTCATTGTCTGCTTCTCACAATCCAAGTAATCAAACACATTCAGTGATGTTGAGGTCTGGACTCCATGGTGGTCAGTCCATTGTTCTGAGAACACCAGCAGCTTCTTTGTTTGATCTTCTTCTTTTTTGTCTGTCTCCTTTTCTCAGTGAGGCTTCTTGACAGCTACACATCCGTTCAGATCCATAGTGTTGTCTTCTCAGAGTGGAAGGATGAACAGAAACACCTGTGGATGTTTTCAGATCTGAAGTAGCTTGATTTTTAGTTTTGGTGGCCTACCAGGTCTTGCACAGTTTTTATGGGTCCCATTTTTTGGATGTACTAACATACACTAAGTAAACATGGGGCATATTGTTATATATAGGTACTTATCCATAAGTGTATACATACATTCTGTATATACATACACAGGATGTATTACATACAGGTTTTTATGGGACATATGTTTGACTCCACATCCTGACAAGGTATAAAAACAAACGCATGTGTATGTGCGTCTGCAAGGTTTTTGAAGATATTTTCAGCACTGGAAAGGGACACAGCACAAAGGCCTTTGATTTGTAATGGAACAAGGAGTGGCTAATGAAATTAGCCACATGCTTTTACCATTTTAGTGTTAGGAATGTCTGCGGTGTGTGTGTGTGTGTGTGTGTGTGTGTGTGTTACACATGACACCGAATTTCTGCATCTGTAACTTGTTCACACTCTCGCAAAACACAAACACAAAGCCATACACGGCACTGTCCTTCCTCTCCTTAATGCGCTGCCATCAGACCTTTAAGTCTCTCTCCGGTTTTTTATCTGTAGTATTATATGACCTGTTGATAAGAGAAAAAGCACAAGAAGAAGGGAATACGAAGAAGTAAGAACCAAATCAGTTAAGTGAGAGAAAAAGTGTGCCAAAGGTTTCTGGCCCCCATAAGCTGCAAAGCTGGCCTGGTATTTCAAATCCAGAGCTACTTTCAAACTTAAGCAGGGGGCGTCTGGAGGAATGTGATGGCCAGCCAAGTGCTCCCCCACCCCACGCACACACGTGTACACACACACAGACACACACACTTTTTTTTACACATTTTTTTAAAGTGTCAGGACATGGGATCATTATGTTCCATATTTATTATAAATATGTAATAATAAGACAGTTCTGTGCAAAATTCAGAGGGTTTTTTTAGTTTACATTTAATTTACAGTCAAAACTGCTGTTAAGTACCAGTTATTCCTGTTTCAGGAGATATTTCTGAGGTAATAAGATATAAGACAATCCATTTGCATAAGGAAAGTGTGCAAGTGATATGAAAATATAAAAATCAAAGGAAAAAGCCAGATTTTCTGAAACTTTCAGACCTCAGTGTTTGGAATTACTTTAATTGTAAGAAACAGGAAATGCAACCAACTTCTAAGACTGAACTTTGGGGGTGTGGAAAAATATCCCTGCAGACTTCCTTGAAAAAACAGAAAGCAAGTCACCTTAATCAGTGTGTGCATGTTCACCTTAGCCAGTGAAAAGGATCAGCGTGTAGCTCTCTGTGTGCTACAATGCTTTCTATCACTGTATAAAAGATGAACATGGCTTCCTTTATTGCTGAAAGCACTGTGATTTATTTAAACAAGTGAACACGTAAGCTCAATTAGAGTGTAGTTCAGATCAATAAGGACTTGTTATTGTTCTGTTAAACCCCTTAAAAGGCCAGGGCCCACCAGCAGGCCCAAGGTTTTACTACACACTTCTGTAACATAAGAATAGCTCAACCAGTTTGCACTGAAGTCCCTGTAGTTACTGAATAAAAAGACTTAGTGTGTAACAAGCGGATTTTTAGGGGTTAATCAGGGAAATGATAAAATACTACTGACGTGACATATTCTTGTTCATATTTTCTAAAAGGTAGTGTGTAACACAAACTGAATAAACATCCCTTCACTCTGTTCTCCTCCTACATGGCCTGCTGTTAGAGTGTGTGTGTGTCTGTGTATGTATGTGTTTGCATATGTGTGCGTGTGTGTGAGGGTGGACAACATGGACAGGCTGCTGACAGGCTACAGCTGCTAAAAGTGAACCCTACGCTGACCACTTGTGATATTTTAAACATCTAGTACTTTTACATAAATTGTTTTGGCTATATTGATTTAAAAAGAACAGTAATGCGGAGGGTCCACCAGACCACTGAGTAACAAAGACATGAACACCACTCAAGGGTTAAAAGAAAGGAAGCTACAATAAAGGCAAAGCGTTGTCACTAAAGACAGAAAGTATTGATAATATATTTATTTATTGAGGCTTCTGAGTAATTTTTTGCTAAATAAACAGTCAAGTCACATTATGACCACCAGCTAATATCCAGAGTAACCGCCGTGTGCAGCACAGACAGTAGCTAGACTGCCTAGAAGTGACTCAGTAAGGTTCTGGTAGGTGGTCACAGGTACATGGAGCCATGCTGACTGCAGTGCATCCCACAGCTGCTGGAGGGTGCGTGGGGGAGGATCTATAGAGCGAACTCGACGATCAAGGTGGTCCCACAGATGCTCATTTGGGTTCAAGTCTGGGGAATCAGGGGGCCAGGAAAGTACTTGGAAGTCTTGGTCATGCTCTTCCAACCAATGTCAGACATTTATAGTTGTGTGACATGTTGCATCATCTTGCTGGAAGTTCCCATCAACCCCAGGGAAGACAATCAGCATGTATGGGTGTACTTGATCTGCAAGGATGGATTCATAGCCAAATCGGTTGATAGTGCCTTCCACGTGGATGAGTGGGCCCAGAGAATGCCACAAAAACATTCCCCAGACCATAACGGTGCCACCACCAGCTTGTGGACATTAAGTGGTCATAATAATGTGACTCGACTGTATATGTTTCCTGTTTTTCCTGATGCTAAAAATGAATAACGAAATGGCTGTTTTGGCTGGGAATTATGGAGAATCAAGTGTGGTTGCTGACTTTTGCACAGTGCTGTATATGTAAGTATCTGTGTGATGAGTTTTCCAAGCCTAAACAAACTTTAACTTCAACTTCAGTATCCAGAAAGAAATGCTTTTGCTCAGTGAATCCTAAAAAAAAAAAAAAACTTTTCCTAGAACATCAGGACTTTATTCTGAAAATGGTCACACTCACAGCTGAGATAATAGAAAAGTAGCCTTGCTAAGTTTTATACTTTCAAATTTACATGACAAGTAATACTACTTACTGTATTATAGTGTTTTCCTTTTCCTAATGATTAGTGTAGTGTGGGACCATCAGTGTGTGCTTTTAGTGCATTAAATCTGGGAACTCACTGCTGCTTTCTGAATGGCTGTTGGATTCTCAGTCACTTTCTAATTGCCAATGCAAATTTATAGTAATCACAAAGACACTGTTGTCCTTGTTACATCATCAGTGGTGCACAGATCACACTGTTCAGTCTGCTATCAGATAAAAACTTTATGAACTGTATGTTCTCACTGCACACTGACAACATGCAAATCTGTCCATACAAGTCATATCCGAACGCTCCGCTAAAAGACAGTGGCTGATGTATTTCGTGGTCATTTCCTCACAGGACTCCAAGATTAAGAAGGTCAGATCGAAGAGAGAGAGAGGAGACAAGAAGCTGTTTCCTTCACAGGATGATGAGCACTTCCTGCTGACCGGAGTCACTCTCTCACACAGAAGAGGGTAAGCTAATTCAACAAGGCCAGTGTTATTGATTAAGTAATGCATCAGTCTGATAGTGGCTATTTAACTGCATTTGTTTTTGTGAGCCACAGCTAATCAGTTATAATGGATTATTATAAGGATAATAAAGTTTGTACTTACTTTTTAGCCAAAATAGAACTCAGGCCATTTTTAAATATAGAAATGTTAGAAATGAATTGTATTTTTTATGCTCCACTACTGTGTAAAGAATTAGTCTAGTCACATTTATGTATTCAATATACTTTGTAAAATCATCCTAAATATTACCAAAAAATTGATTCAAACTGAATTGTGGTAAATTCGTGAACCGGGTGTATGTTGGCTTGAGAAAACTGTTGCTATGAAATCCCATGTAGTTGCTAAGGTGTTGCTAGTCCATTGCTAGGGTGCTGAAGTGTTGCTAGGGCATTGCTGAAGTATCCCAGGTGGTTGCTAAGGTATTGCTTGGCCATTGCTACACTGTATGAAAACCATATATGCAGTGTTTTCAATTCATCCAGTCTTTTTTTTTATTCAGCATCAAAATAGGCATAAAAATACATTAACATTTGTTTAGCTCATTAAAATCTGCCCCCTAGTAGTTGGTGAATGTGCATGTCCATGTTGGTTAAAGTGAAATGAATCAGCAAATTTAGCACGTTAAATTCAGCAAACACATATGCACTAAATATTGAGAAACATGTTATTTGACCTTAAACATGAGCTTTTTTAGGTTATGAAGATATTATGTTCTTTACATATCAAAACAGGTGTGACTGCGGTATTGAGAAATCATGTTAATAACAAAGAAGTGTGGATTACAACACAAATATCTGATTAACTTGAAGATTAACTTGAAGCTCAGTAGATTATCAAGAGTGAGGATGGACTGAGAGTGAAGCAAAGTTTCAGCCCACTGTTGTGAGTCCTGGTACGACTTGGCTGAACTCCTGCATGATAAGAATCTTAAAAGATAGGAAACATGACTCAGGCATTCCCCACTATTCTCTGCCTTGGATTGTTTCAAAACAGCGATTCAGAATGTGTGAGACTGAAGGGAGGGACCTAGACAGAACACATACACAGATTCCAGAGTAAATATGGAGAACATCCCAGAGAACGTCCCATACGGAAAAGAAATATAAGTAAGGTAGAGATTAAACGGTTACCGGTTTCACGGTAAACCGCGGTAAAATCAATGACGGTTAGTAGTACCGTTTGAACTTTAAAGTATCGTTAAAACCGCGGTCGATTACCGCGGTGTGAAAACTCAGAGATTCGGAGATATTTCAGCCTTCTAAGAAGACCAAGTCTGACGTTTGGTCATATTTTGGGTTTTATAAGGATGCAGAAGGAAAGCTAATTGAAGATGACCACCCTGTCTGCAGAACAGGCCGAAAGAAAATAGCGGCGAAAGGGGGCAACACATCAAACTTTACAAGTCATTTCGCGACCACCACCCGCTACTTTTTAGAGAATGCAAGGTTAACTTTAACGTAGAAGTCTGTGGAGACTTCGAAATAGAAGAAATGTCACGGTTTGTGTGGTTTAACTTATGCTTATGGTTCGTTAATAATATAAAATGAAGCTTTTAGCGTCAAAAAAAAAAGAAAAAAAGAAAAACAATCGGTGAATCAACTGTGAATCGAAACTAAAGCTTTTAACACATTACTGTGGAGCAGAGTCTCCAAAATGAGCTCTGAGTTAACAGTCACACAAGCTCTGGAACGAGACGCTGCAGAGGTTCAATCTGCACAGCTCCCCTTTCTCGTCTCGCTTGCAGTGTTTACTGTCTGAGAGGAGAGTAACACCGTCTCAAATCACTCAGTCTCCCCTACATAGAGCGCTACTGTTCAAACAAACACGATCATCATTAACAAGCAGCTGAGTTTTAAATAGGGGATTTGTAACCTGTTGTTAATGTTGATTATAGATGACTTAGTCGAACGTTTCTTGCACTCTTTGGGTGAAGGATTTGCTATTTCATGATCCACGAAGTGCACTACATAGGGAAGATAGTGTGCTTTGAGACGGGACCTTGCACGAGTAAACGCGGTGTGCCGCTTTTAGGAGAAGCAGAGTTTCAGAGATTAAACTGTAGGAGTGTTTCTGCTGCAGCTCAGATGCATGTTAATTTTAAGTTATGTTTTAGTTTTAAAATGCTTTCAGAGAAGCAGCTCCACAGGTGAAGACACACTGTGTGAGTTCTACACTGTCTGCAGCTCACAGCACGGTCACGCAATTCCTCTGTGATTTTGGCTGTTTTTCCTGGTGCACTGTATTGATTAGGGGTTCAGAGCCACAACGGCACAATAATGCTGCAGTTGCAGTTCAGACAGAAATCCCCCGAGTGCAGCACTTCTTAGAAGTAGTAATTTTCCATTAAGACCCACCTCAGAGTTGGTCGAGATTTAATTCTCTATGCAGGGAAATCCCTAGTTTTTGTAATTAATAATAATAATAATAAGAAGAAAAAGAATAATAACAGTAATAATAATAATAATAATAATAACTGTAATAATAATACATTTGCTGTTCTTTTGTTTACAGAGTATTACAAGTATTGTAAGTAATACAAAAGTAATACTAAAAATGCATTGACCTTATTTTTTAATGTTTATGCAAATAAAAAGTGCATATTGCTGCCAATTCTATTTGTGTTAATATAAAAGTTGGTGAAATGAGTTTCAGTTTGTGTATCAGTATTTATTTTTTTATTTATTTTACTTTTCAAAACATTTGAACAATATCGCGATAATACCGATAATCGTGATAATTTTGGTCATGATAATCGTGATAATCGTAAACATATTTCATAAAACAACCTTTACCTAACTAGTAAATCACTTAAAACAATGAATGAGAAATAAAATGAAATTGTAATGAACAAAACAATCCAATTAATAAATAATTTAAAACAATTAGCTTTTTAAATTTAATATTAATTACAATTCGCTATTTACATTTAATAACAATTAAATAAATTGAGGTCATACATAAAACCGCCACGTGGCAGTAATGAAGTTACCCAAACACCTCACTCTAACACATGTGCTACTGATTCCAAGTGGAAACCCCACCCTGAGTCTTTCACCCCCTCCTTCCTCTCAAAGCTGTGGAAACTACTTGAGCCTCAAACATCACCTTCCTGTCCACAATGACCACTGATTTATCACGCTTGTCCACCTCAGGATATAAAGGTGGGACATATATAGCTGTAGAACAATAGCGGTAGAGGGCTGTTATTGCTCTTAAGAAGGTGTGACTAATGGTTTGTTGTTGGGTGATGTTCAGTGTTGTTAGTTCATGCCATGTTAAAGTAACTGACCCTTACACTTCAGCTGTTCCAGAGTTACACATTAATCAAGTAGGCAGAAAAATCTAATGTGCACAATAAAAAAAATAAAAAAAAGAATAGATTGCATAGCTATTAACGGCCATCTTAAGCTAGAATTTTGTCTATAAGTTTGTCCATTTTTATAGATAACAGTATGTCACATTGTCAGAAACTGTATAAACAAGTCTACTAGGCCCTACTACTCATGAATGTAATCTGTAGCGTCCATATGCCTGTGTGATGCGTGTGCAAAAACAAGTCGGATTCTGCCAGGGAGTCGGAATTTAGCACAACAGCTGCAAAGACATCATCAGAAGAGAAAGAGCCATGTTGACTTACAAGGTAGAGTAATATTGCAGGATTTTTTTTACAGGAGGTTGCAAACTTTCAAGGCTTATTCGGCGTCAGATTGACAAAGATTGACCAAACCTTTTGGTGTAAGATGATTTTATTTCTTTGCCTACTAGCCTGAAACTAGGTGACTTTTGGCGCCTGGAAAAACTACGAAACTCAGGGATGACACAGATTTCAGCCTACACAAACAGTCTTTCATAAACAACATTGGCAGGGATGTATACTCTGCTGTTGGGTTGTCGTTTTCCCGTTAGCCGTGAGAGTGTCTTGCATCTTGCTTTTATCTCTTTACTTTTCATCAATGAGCAAAAGCCAGTCCGAGATTTACTATCCGGTCTCTTGCTCAGTCACTCTCTCTTTTCCTCTTCCTCGCTTTCTGTGACAACGTGTTCTTCAGTCTTATCGTAGCCACTGCCATGATGTCCATGCAGAGAATACAGAGCTTCTTCTTATAGCTACTTAAAGAGTGTATTACATGGTGCCATAAAGCGTTATGTAGTCCTCGCAGTAGGTCTTGCGTCTGCTCCTCCAAAATTACATAGTGCTATAGCAGGTGTTCCAGGCCCAAAGTGGCAATGACAGACACCATTCTCACTATTATGAGTCAGTTTACCATCAAAATGATTTATGTACTTCTTAGTGTTTTTGTCTTAAGAACCTTCACAAGTTTTTTTCTTAAAGTTTTCATGAATCTGGTCCCAGGAGGCCTGTGCTATGGCACAGCTACCGGATGCGAGTCAGCAGATGTAGTGATCTTTGCTGAATTGTCCATTTAAGACTCTGATTAGATTAAATAACCAATAATGTAGTTTTAAGCTTTAATTGACTCTCTCTTTCTCCATACTTATCCCTCTCAGGTCTGCTAAGAAGAGCTTGGAGGAGGAGAAGAGCAAGCAGCCGGAGAAGGACCGCGCCCACTGCCTGTGGGACAGCATCACCATGACCATGAGGCAGATCACACCCAACCGCAAGATGGACAAGATAGAGGGCTGGGAGCCACCCCAGCTGAGCGAGGAGGTGCCCGAGGAGGAGAAGAGAGAGGGAGAGGGCAAAAAGAGTGACTCCTCTGCACTCTCCTCTCCGCTGTCTCTTTCCCTGCCTGGGCCGCTGACCTTACCCTCATGGACGGGTCTGGGAGGGTCAGAAGAAGACTCTTCTCGCTATTCCAGTCTGACCGAACCCCAGGCGGGACGTCCCGTGCAGTGGGCGGCTCGAGCGCGGGACAAATTGGCCGCTGTCCGTCGCCGCAGTCCCGGGGGCCTATCAGAGAGCTCGTGGGAGGGACTTAAATGATAACCTCTTTTGTGGCCCCACTTTAATGGAGAAAGATGGAACTGCTAACGAAACCCTTGTACATTCATGGCTCTGTTCTGATTGGATTGCACTGTGGAGAAGTGCTGCAAATGAAGTGAACAAGCAAAGGAAGCAAGCGAAGAGAATTGGGATGGTGCCTTTTTGAGTGTACTTGATGATTGGAAGGTTTTTGAAGGTCCAGAGTAGCGCCAGACCTTGGAAAGCCTTTTTTGTGGCTTTTTCAAAACTGCTAAAATAGATTTTATTATTCGTTTTTTTTTTTTTGCATTAAACCCAGGATGCTATGCTGTCATAGTCTCCCGATAAAAGTGCTCACTACTTTGCTGTATCTGCTGCCTGTCTGACCAGTGACACTAAAACACTTGTCAGAATCAACATTGCGGTTCTTCGAGAGAACCTTAGATAAGTATAGTTTAGTGTTTAAGTATATTTGTTAACTGCTATCAGCCTTAATCGCTCGACCAATCAGCTTGCCTGCCTTCTTAGGGCTGTCTGTACTTGGCACAGCCGCAGGCAGGGGGCAATATAAGAGACTACTGTGCCTTATAATTTCTGAAAACAAATGGGATCTTAGGGTATATATAGTATGTATAGTTCTCAATGTGAATGCATTAGTTTTGATTTAAAATCATTTAAATAATGCCTTATACCACCTAACTGTGAACAGTGCACAATCCTGTACCTCCACTGCTGCTTGTTCATTCTGTTAACCGTCACAGATAGAGAGTAACCACATTCTCCAGCTCAAATCAACATGAAAAACACTCAGGCGTTCAGAACACTGACCTATGACCAGGGACAGACATTGTCCTGGACCTAAATGCATTTAAAATAAACAACTGTACAATTTTATAATTGCACATTTTGCCTACGTAGTTTGTGCCACTGCCTTTTGAGCCTTAAAGAAAGATGAAACTACTGTATTACTACTGCAGATGCTGATTGTCCTGCTTTGTCATGTATAGTATTGTGCAAAAGTCAGAGACCACCCTTCATTTATGTAATTTCCAGTCAAAAATTATTCATTTTTCAGCAGATATTTGGGGAGAAATTTAAATCTCAACATCAATGGTTGATTACTGTGATTGTGGAAAATGCACCCAACTTCTAAGACTGAACTTTGGAGGTGTAGCAGATTTGGAAGCAGCAGATTTCTTTGGAAAACTAAAAGCGAGTCTCCTGTAAAGAATGGAAGCTGTAATAAAGATAAAGAGTGGAAACAGTAAATACTGAGAAAAGATCATATTAAGTTGTTGAGGCTTCTGTTAAAAATATGTTCTGCTTTTTTCCTGACAGTGACTTGTACTTAATGTCTGGTTTGACTGCAAATTAAATAAATGAAGGGTGGTCTCTGACCTTTGCACAGTACTGTACTTCGACTGGTGAAGAGTTTCCCAGTCTGTCCAGTTACATTGTTCAAACACTGGCACTAGGCCTTTGGTAATGTCAACATGGACAGTGGCCAGTGCTGGCAGATTTGATCATTTTGATGATGTCCTGAAGCCACCAGGGTGTGTTTCATACAGCATGATTTCTCAGTAAGGATAACCTAAAACAAAGGAATGTCCAATAGAAGCTCTTATTTTGTTCTCTAGACTTGACTGTTGGCTTATCCAGTTATCCAGCTAATAGGGAAATCTTGCCTGCCTGAAGACAATAGTGGTGAAGACAGGCTGTGGGAGGATGGTCTTATATATATCTCTAAATGTGACATATCTGAAAATGGTGCATCTGAATTTGATAAGACTTCATATCTGCTTGCAAAAGCTTATTGCCAAATCTGCCAAATCTTTACTATCTTACCAAAAAGACATAAACCAAAAGAAAAAACCAAGTGACAATCACTCCTGTCAGAGTTGGTTAATAGATATACTGTGCAAATGTCAGAGACCACCCTTCATTTATTTCATTTCCAGTCAGATTGTACATTAAGTAAAGCCTAGGAAAGAGAATATATTTAGCAGAAAATTACACAGAAGCTTCAATAACTAAATATATAATCACATTTTCCAGTATTCCGTATGTCCACCTTTTCCTTTATTACAGCTTCCATTCTTTTTGTTTTTCATAAAAATCTGCAAGGTTTGGACTCTGGGGTGGTCAGTCCAGTGTGTCCCTTTCTCAGTGAGGCTTCTTGACTGCTATACATCCTTTCAGACTCATAGCGCTGAGTCGTCTTCTCACAGAGGAAGGATGGACAGAAACACCTGTCGATTTTTTCAGATCTGAAACAGCTTGATTTTCTCCTCTCTCTCAAAGATGAAAGCTTTAAGTGATGTTTATCTGATGGGCCAGTTTTTTGGTCTACAAACTAAACAGCTGGTCCCATTTTTTCTGTATATTTTTAACCACTTTTTGAAGTTTTGGAAATCTTTGGGTCTTTTTTTGATCTATTTTCCTTTGACGTTCTCCTTCATCATGCAACTTGACATGCAACAGTTACCTTGTATTGATTATCCCTGCATACACATCTTCTGAAAAATGAATAACTTGTACTTACTGGCTGTTTTGACCTGAAATAAAACAAATGAAGGGTGGTCTCTGACTTTTACACAGTAGTGTTCGTGTGCTACTAGTGCATAGTGTCAAAGTTTTTTTACTAGTATTCTCTAAACATTGAATAAATGAGTGAATGAGCATTGGAGTCTTCTATTATTGTGGCTTTAGTTTTGCTTTAAAGTGCTCTGTCTGTATGTTTCTGGTTTTACTGTCAGGTTGTTCACGTTTGGAAATAAAGAGTCTTCTGCATCAAAGCTTTTGTGCCTCAGACATTATGCTTGCTCCTTGATATTTATTCTGGTTTAGTATCTGCCAGGACTTGCAAAATAATCATCTAAAGCAGATCCTATTACAGCTCAGCACCCACATCAGAGATAGCAGCTGGCCAAAAACGGAAACTGTTTAGTAGAACTCAAGTGAGCGAGTTTTGCTGCCCTGGTCCACTGAAATTTACAGCCGCTGCCAGCGTCACTGTTTACTTAGAGAAACGACATACTTAAAGGTATAAACAGGATATTTTTTCCTGAGCTGATCTGTTCATAAATGGACTGAAACTAGTTTGCTCAGAAATAAAGTGCAAAACAGGCCTACAGACATACATATCTGCATATGTACAGATATCCAAACATCTTATATGTACATCTCCTGAGCTCCTTTCACATTGCCTGTTATTCTTCTTTATTCTATATTCTATTTATTGTACACACTTGAAGAAGATGGTTCTTCAAGGGTTCTTTAGTGAAAAAAATGGCTCTGTGTAGAACCTTGAATACTAAAAGAACCTTTTGCATGATTAAAGGGTTCGTTGTATCATTAATGGGTTCTTCAGACTGATTTAGACTGTGTTTTATATGGTTCTATATAGAAGCTTTTTGAAAGGGTTCCATATATAGCACCAAAAAGGGTTTTTCTATTGTTATAGGCTCGACAATGTAAAAAAGAAGAACACTTTTCAAAAAGGTTCTATATAGAACCATCCACAGCATTCTCCATCAATCAGAAGAACACTTTAATCATGCAAATGTTTTTTTCATTGTTCATGGTTCCACATAGAACCATTTTCTTTACTAAAGAACACTGGAGGACCCACCATTTTTAGGAGTGTATTTTATTTCACTTTTGTCTTAGTTTAGTACTTGTTAACAGTCTGTGTTTGTCTGGTCTGTTTAGTATGTTACACATCATACATGTGTGACTCACCAAAACAAATTTCTTGTATGTGTAACATACTTGGCTAAATAAAGTGATTCTGATTCTGATATACACAATTGTTATGTACACTATGGGCCATTTTTAATGAAGCTCATTGATTAGCCTAGTCTTGGTCTAAATTGAAGGTTGATTCATCATTGAAAATTTTATTTAGGTTCAAATGCAAATTCCAGCAATTTTTCTAAATTTCTGCATAATTCAGTTACAAAGATGTAACATTCTGAGGGGTTTGATGTGAAATTGTTCAATGTAGAGAAACTTACACACTCAGATTTCTTTGCAGTGGTGGTGATAGGAACCAGGGGTCACAATGTCTACAACACAAATATAGCCATTTTATTCACTATCCAAAACCACCAGTGAACCTACGCATGTCTTCTGAGTTTTAATATGTAATGTTGATGATGGTAAAATAGTGATAAATCTGAAAAACAGTTTTCTTTGGGGACTATTCTGCCCTACAACACCCTGCATGTATCCCTCCACCATAACTTTCAGTGAGGGAGCTTTTAGAGCCATTAAACTCTTTAGACGTCTGGTTCCTATCACCACCACTGTGAACAACAGTTTCTGAAGTTTCTCTACAACAGAGCATTTCACATTAAACCACTTTGAAGGACTATTTACATCTCAACAATTGAAATATGGAAGAATTTGGAAAGATTGATGGAATTCCTCTTTTAATTTAATCTGCGTCTGAAAGTGGTCAGATCGCCCCCTGCTGTTTGCGTTCAAAGCTTAGATTAAGAATGAATTTGATGTGCTGAGGTATAGAATAATGTGCAGTGTCATATTTGACACTATGTCAATGATCCAAACGACTAAGGGACAGGAAGATACAGAAATAGAGTCTAGAAAGCCTGTCGCATGGATGACGTCACTGTCACGGAGCCAATACAGTGGCGTTGTCACTGAGTCATGGGTTTTGTAGGTCAACTGTATTTTAAGTGTTTTTAAATTAATTCTCAGAAGTTTCCCTATGGTGAAATGAATGGCAACCAGCAGATGATGTAGGTCTGCCCTTTCTCTCCCTACATGTCCAAAAGTTTAAAGAGGAATTCCACCAATTTTCAAAATTTCTGGACAATTAAATGGTTAATAAAACAAAGCAATTCAGAGTGATTTGATGTGAAATGCTCCAATCTAAAGAAACTGTCAGAGTCAGAAATGTTCACAGTGGAGGTGATAGGAACCAGAAGTGTTTAATGCCTCTTAAAAAAACATAATAATAAGCTACTGAAACCGAATGGTTATGAATATGCTGCCTAATGACAGGTCCATGCAGGGTGTTATAAGGCAAAATATTGCCCAAAGGGAATGGATTTTTTTTTAGACTGACCATTATCTGAACATATTCAACATTATATCCAAAATCAAAAGACACATGTAGGTTCACTGGTCATTTCGGATAGAAAATAAAATGGCTATATTTGTGTTGTAGACATTGTGACCCCTGATTAATATCACCACCACTGTAAAGATATCAGAGTTGGTGAGTTTCTCTACATTGAATCATGACTGAATGACATTGTTTACATCTCAACCATTGAATTATGCAGAAATTTTGAAAAATCAATGGAATTCCACTGTCCATACACCCAGAGTGTGCTTTTCTGTTAACTGATTTGATGTAAATATGTTTTATAAATAAATTTGATTCAAACTGAAACCGTACCGGGCAGCACGGTGGCGCAGTGGGTAGCGCTGTTGCCTCACAGCAAGACCGGCCTGGGTTCGATTCCCAGCAGGGTGACTAGGGTCATTTCTGTGTGGAGTTTGCATGTTCTTCCCGTGTCTGTGTGGGTTTCCTCCGGGTACTCCGGTTTCCTCCCACAGTCCAAAAACATGCAGTCAGGCTGATTGGACATGCTAAATTGCCCCTAGGTGTGAGTGAGTGTGTGACTGTGTATGTCTGTCTGTCTGCCCTGCGATGGACTGGCGACCTGTCCAGGGTGTATCCTGCCTTCTGCCCAATGACAGCTGGGATGGGCTCCAGCACTCCACCGCGACCCAGAAGGATAAGTGGTTTAGATGATGTATGTATGAAACCGTACCTTACAGATGATTTCTCCCTCAACAACAGATTCCAAAGAGCTAACTTTTCATCAAAAGATTTAATCAGCATTATAGGTTTCCATGTTTCTATCAAATCTCCAACAGTACCATCAAGGTGGACCAACTTCTATTACAAATACATTCCTGGAATACCAAAGGAATATTACAAAGTCAAGAGAAAGGATATAAAATACATTTGTTTCATAAATAGCAATGCTTACATCATTTTTCCCGCGACTCGATTTGAGAAAAGTGGATCATAAAAAGTCACTCTTTTTTGTACGGCAAATAACACAATGCAAATGTACACTTTAGTGTCAATACGTCAGATATATGCACGGCACGAGGAAGTAACACAAGGAAAAACCGACGTAAACACAAACCTACAGCTACTTCAAACGTGCAAACAGTTGCTATGAAAAACGAAGTCGGACTGGAACGGCTTCTTCTGCTTTCTCCCAAAGTACTTCAGTCTCTTCCTGTAGCATGCAGCAAAGCCTCATTATTATCTACCCCCACCCCTAAACATATATCTACACCCCTCTCTCCCTTAGACCAGCACTTAATATCATGTAGAGCTCACTGCTCTGAAAACAAAGGACAACATGACAGACAAGAAAACACTGAAACCATGACATCTTTCTAATAAGCCCTTAAAGTTTGGGTGAAGGAGGAAAAAACAACAAAAGACACCAGTCGTTTCATAACGGCAAATGAGAGATTCGGCTTTTTTCACACGCGCTGCACCCACAGGTTGGCAGTCCAGCTAAAGGATAGGAAATAGAGTGTTTTTTGAAGGAAAAATGAGTCAGAAAGAAGGAATCAGAGTTCGGTCTGAGGTGTATTTAGCAGATTGAAAGTCATTGTCATTGGGGAGTGGCTGGAGTGGAAGATTCGGAGCTGTGCAGGTGCCTGTGAAGTCTAGAAAACAATGCAGAGCTTCAGAATTTGAACAGGTCAATGAAGTGCTGAGGAGAAACAGGTGTCAGGCAGCTGTCTGGGTCATTTGCTGTGCAGGGATGCCCCGTATCCTGAGAGAGAGACACAGACAGAAAAAGAGTGAGCAAGTATTTAGCCCCAAATCTATAGGACTTCACAAAATTCTTCCCTTACTTTAAAATAAAATTAATTGATCAGCCAAGACTGTCTGAAGTTTAGTTCGTAGACTGTACACTACATTATATAGCCTCATAGATTGCAGTGTGCTATATAACCTTGTAGATTATATAGTACATTATATTGCCTCGTAGATTATATAGTATGCTATGTACCCTTGAAGATTAAACAGTATGTTATATAGTACGTTATATAGCCTCATATACTATATAGTGCACTATATGACCTTGTAGACCATATAGTACATTATATAGCCTCGTAGACTGTATAATACATAATATAGCCTCATAGATTGTATAGTATGCTATATAGCCTTGTAAAATATATACGGTAGTACATTATATGGCCTCATATAGTATATAGTGAGCTATATAACCTTGTGGATTATATAGTACATTATATTGCCTCATAGATTATATAATATGTTCTATTACATTGCAGACTATATAGCACATTGTATAGCCTCTTAGACTATATAGTACATTATATAGCCTCATAGATTGTATAGAGTGCCATATAACCTTGTAGATTATAAAGTACATTACCTAGCCTTGTAGACTGTATAGGACATTATATAGCCTCATAGACTATATAGTACATCATATGGCCTCACAGATTATATAATACGTTATATAGCCTCATAGTGTATAGTATGCTATATAACTTTGTAGACTATATTGAGCATTATATTGCCTCATAGATCATATTGTACGTTATACAGCCTCATATTGTATCATATTATATAGTGTGCTAAATTACGTTGTAGATTATATAGCACATTATATCGCCTCATATTTTATATAGTGCACTATATAACCTTGTAGACTATAAAGTACATCACCTCATAGATTATATAGTACTTCATATAGCC